GTATTTTAGTGAACTTATCAGTTACAGTACTGTACGATACAATCAAACCAACAACAAAAATATTATTTAACAATAGCAAACGATACAATCTATTCAAATGTTGTATCCATAAAACGATATAATATAGTACAATACAATACATTATAAAACGATGGGATAACAATGATCCAAACATAGTGTTAATGATGTCTTTTAAAATACCCCTATTTATAGCCTTTTTTTGGGACCAAGGAGGGAGCATTGCTATTTTAGTCTAACGTAATTAGAAACGAAAAGTATTCAAGTATTTCCATTTTTCCTGCTTGATGAAACAATGATGCTATGAATGATTTCTCATAAGTTAGGTGCTTCATTAATTATGAATCTAAAAGTCCCATGTCCAAAAAATGAAAGTAGCTGAAATGAGTATGTTGAAATGGATGTATGAACATACTAGGAATGACAAGATTAGAAATGAAGTTATTAGGGAAAAGGTAGGAGTGACATCGGTGGAGGACAAGTTGCGGGAATCGAGGCTAAGATGGTTCGAGCATGTGAAGAGTAGAGACATAGATGATCCGGTCAGGAGGTGTGAGTGGTTGTCCATGGTGGGTCTGAGGAAGGGAAGGGGTAGGTCTAAGAAGTATCAGGGAGAGGTAGTTATGCAGGACATGTACTCATTGCTCCAGCTTACCGAGGATATGACTCACGAGAAAGGTGTGGACGTCGAGGATTATGGTTGTACGTTGACAGATAGTAGTGTCCCTCCTACGCTTACCAATAGTACTAGGACTATTTTTGTATTATCTTATTCATGGATCTTTACTATTACATGATATGTCATTCGCTGTTGTTACCATAATTAGGGGTGTACAAAGAAAACCGATGAACCGCACCAAACCGATAATCCGAGTCAAATCAGAAAAAAAATCCCGATGTGGTTTGGTATTGAAAAATAAAATCCGACCATAATTGGTTTGGTTTGGTTTTAACTAAAAAAAGTCAAACCCAAACCAAACAAACCCGATAGTACATTTATATAATTTTTAAAAATATTTTATACATATAAATAATTATTGTAATATAATTTATAAGTATTTCTTAAACTTTTTCACAGTTTTATCTTTTAACATATTATTTCAAGTTTAGACTTAACATTCTTGAATGGTAAAAAAAATTTATAACCCATAAATATAGTAACTCAAAGAAAGTTCAAATCAATACTAATGCTAACAAAAGAAATTCAATTCAATACTAGGAATGACGATAGTGTTGGATAATTATTTTAGTTTTACATTGATTTATAATAAAAATGCATAACTTAGTTTATCTTTTTCTTTAGTGCTTAGTTATGTAATTAATATTAGTACTTATTAGCTATACTTATTTTAGCATGACTTATATAGTATTTTTAGATTATGCTAATTTTCATTATGGCTTATTAATTAGCAATATTTGTTTTATGTAATTTTATTATTTTATCTTTGTTATTAAATATTTTAGTATAATGCTATGACTTATCTTATATTATTGTGTTAGTTTCTTGAAAAACACATTATATAGTTATATTTTACTAGGACTTAATAAATATTTGGAGCACAAGTTACATATTTGATGCTAGGAAGACTTTACCGGGGAAAAACCCGAAATTAAAAAATCCGACTTTATTGATTTGGTTTGGTTTATAAATTTAAAACCCGACACCATTGGTTTGGTTTGATAATTAAAAAATGCGAACCAACCCGACCTATGTACACCCCTAACATAATACATTGTTGTTACTATTATTTGCTACTTGTTGCTTTATCTCCACTGTTTCTTGAGCCGAGGGCGGAAACAACCTCTCTATCTCTATATGATGAAGTTGTTATCTTTCATTGATAGGAGCTGTAAATATATAGAGTTTACAAGAGATTAAACTTGAAAAGATAAGTACAAGAAATATACGGATATACATGGATACATATCATGATCAGTTTGAATGTAACTAAATCCTAGGAAATGGTTGGATCAGGTTAATCTGTAATCCTTTATCATGCCCCCGCAAGATTGGTAGGATTGAGAGGAGGCCAATCTTGGTAACTTGTTGAAGGAATTGTTGCTTTGGAAGCGGTTTGGTTAGCGAATCTGCAAGTTGTTCACCTGCTGGTATATGTTTCACACAAATTTCTCTCTTGGCAACTTGATCGCGAACAAAGTGAAAGTCGATTGCTACATGCTTCATTCTACTATGGAAGACAAGATTTTTGCAGAGGTATGTAGCACCAATATTATCACAATATATGACAGGAGCTTTGAGCTGGGGTAAGGAAAGCTCACGAAGCAGATGAGATAGCCAATTTATCTCTGCCATTGTTGTTGCCACTACCTTATATTCTACTTCAGTGGATGAGCGAGCAACTGTACGTTGTTTCTTTGAGGACCAACTAATTGGAGTGGATCCAAGAAATATTATGTAAGCTGATGTGGACATACGGTCATCATGGTTCCCTGCCCAGTTAGCATCTGAAAATGCTATGAGTGAAAGAGAGGTGAACTGTTTGATATGCAGACCATATGTGATTGTATTCTTGAGGTATCTGAGAAGTCTTTTGACTACTTGCCAATGTTTAGTAGTCGGACAATGCATGAATTGAGCTAACTTATTAATTGCAAAGAAAATGTCCGGACGAGTGAAAGAGAGGTATTGCAAGGCACCTATGGCACATCGATATTCGGTAGCATCTGTTGGAGCTAAACCATCATTGGCGGTCAAGACTTCAGAGGAATACATTGGAGTGGATACACCTTTGGCATTTAGCATATGGTGACATTCTAACACATCAGATATATACTTATGTTGTGTGATAAGTAATCCGCCATTGTAGGGAGTGACTTCGACACCAAGAAAGTAATGAAGATTCCCCAAATCTTTCAAAGAAAATCGATTGGCCAATGTTGTGATGAGCGAGCGAACATCGAATACCGAGTTGCCTGTAAAAATAATATTGTCTACATAGACTAGAAGAAACAAGTGAGATTCACCATGATGATAAACAAATAGAGAAGTGTCTGACCGAGCATTAGTAAAACCATACAAGATAAAAAAGGAACAAAGCTCCATGTACCAAGCACGCGGAACCTGTCATAGACCATAAATTGCCTTTTTCAAAAGACACACATGATTGGGAAATCGAGTGTCCTCGAAGCCTTGGGGTTGCTTCATAAAAATAGTGTCATGCAAAGAGCCTTGTAAGAAGGCATTATTGACATCCAACTGGTGGATGGTCCAACCAAGGGTGACGGCAACAGTGATGATAAATCGGACTGTGGTATGTTTTGCAACAGGGCTAAAGGTGGAGTCGAAGTCAAGGCCAGGTCTTTGGCTATACCCTTTAGCTACAAGACGTGCTTTGTAGCGTTCTACCGTGCTGCCGGGATTGTGCTTGATTTTGAAGATCCATTTGCAACCTACAACATTTTGGTGAAGAGATGGGGGTACTAAAGTCCATGTCTGGTTACGTAGAAGAGCATCAAATTCTACTTGTATTGCAGCATGCCATTCAGGATATTTAGATGTTTGACGATAAGTGTTAGGTGCTAAAGGGAGTGCCGACGACCCTGTAGTGGCTAGGTAATCAAAGACTTCTTTGGGCTTGAAAATGTTGTTCATAGAGGGTGTCACTGGTCTATTTTGGCAGGTTGTAGGCTAAGGTGAGGGGTAGTTTAGAAGTATATTTGATTGTATAGTAGAAGAGTTGGTGGAATCGGGGTATGGTGTTGGTGAGGCGGACTTGTTAGTGTTACTGGATGGGGGATCATGGTTGTTTTCCATATGTGCATGAGGGATTAAGGAAGAAGAGAGATGTGAAGAACTTACCTGTGAAGTTGGGGCAACAAGCTCTTCTTCCTTCAAGGCAGAATCTTGGGGAAGACTATGTGCCGTTAGAATTGGCGGATCTTCATGTAGGTTGGATGAGGATTTGGAGGTTGTGTCTTCAGTAGTTGATGGTGTTGCAGAAATGGGAGAAAGCCATGGTGCTAAATCTTTTGGCATGACTCAAGGCAGATTTGTTTGGTAATCTTTGAAAGGAAATACTGATTCAACAAAGATAATATGTCTGGATGAATAAAATTTTTGATGTTGAGGGTCATAGCAGATGTAGCTGCTGGAAGCTTTGGCATACCCCATGAAGACACTTGGTCTTGATTTACTGTCCAGCTTGTGATTAGTATATGGCTTAAGCCATGTGTAACATAGACAACCGAAGACACGCAACTTAGAATAATTAGGTGAGGTATGAAATAGTGCTTCGTAAGGTGATTTATTATTTTGATTGGGGGAAGGTAAACGATTAATTAAGTATACTACTGCTTGACATACGAGAGACCAGAAAGAGAGTGGAATTGAAGCATGGTGCATTAGCGTGAGAGTCGTCTCTATTATGTGACGATGATTTCTTTCGGTTGTGCCTACGTGTTGGGGAGTATAAGGCGGGCTCGTAAGGTGTTTAATACCATGTCTATTAAGCAAGGAGCGCATATCAACGTATTCACCACCCCCGTCGCTATAAACAAACTGAATGGAAGTATTAAAATATCGTTCAATCTGATTTTTGAAATTATCAAAAATATTGGTGATATCAGATTTTTGTCTAAAAGTAAAGAGCCAAGAATACTTTGTGAAATAATCAACAAAGACTATGTAATAGCGAGATTTATCTAAAGAGATGACCGGTGAAGGTCCCCACACATCAGAATAAAGAATATCAAGAGGACAGACACTTTGCATGGTGTTGATGCCAAAAGATAGTCTATGGCTTTTATTACATAAACAAGAATCATAGAAGGTAAATGACATAGATGTAGAGACTGGAAGATTCAATAATGAAACCGTCAACTTGGTTATTCGAGGTTGCGGGTGTCCAAAGCGAGCATGTCATAAGTGTAGTGAAGAACGACTGGTGGAGGTTATGAACTGGGTGGTCGCTAGTGATATCCTGGTGGTTGATTAAGTTGATGGCCATTCATAGAGATCCCCATTATTCCGGCCTTGAAGAAGTGATGCCCCCGTTCTCAGATCCTTCACAAGAAAAGAATATGGGAAAAATTCAATAGAGGTATTATTTTGTCTACAAAACTTAGCTAGTAAAATAAGAATTTTTTGAATATTTGGATCACACAACACGTTATTTAGCACAAAAGGACTGGAATGGGAAGAGGGCTTTTAGAGAGAGGTATCACATATGTGAGAAATAGGAATAGTTACCGTCACCAATGATAATCTCATCCGATGCAGAGAAGTCTGATATTGACGCAAGATTTTGTGGATCATTTGTCATGTAGTGCGAAGCGCCTAAGACAATCACCCACCGACTATTTGGGGTGTTAGTGCGAGCAACAAAATTCGCTTGCATTTCAACAACAGGGTGAGATCTTGATCGGCCAACTTTGGCTATATGTCCAAATTTATCACAGAGTTGACATTGAATGCAATGATTATTAGACCGCCTTGATGGATTTTCATTTTGTTGTCTATACTGATTATTGATGTTGGGTTGTCCATTCATGGGAAACGATTTGTGATTGGTGTTGTAGTTATTACGCGATCTGCTTCCCAAGTTTGTGGAATTCCTCTGATTGAGTTGAGCAGTGATGATTAGTTGTTCCTTCTTGGCATCTTCATGTTTGAGGAAGACTTCATGTCCAAGTAGCTTGTCGTAGAGTTCCTCAAAGCTTATTGGTGCGTCACGGGTACGAATGGCTGCAGAGATCTCTTTGTACTCAGGTCCCAAACCACTAAGAACTTTAATTGTTAATTCTTCACTGCTAAGAGGGGAGCCTGAGGTAGCTAGTTCATCTGCAAGAATCTTGATCTCTCCCATAAATTCAACAACGGACCTGGAGCTTTGCTTAAGAGTGGATAGTTATTCATGAAGTCCAAAAATACGGGCTTGTGATTTGTTTGCATATGCAGTATGCAGACTTTGCCAAGAAGTTGCGGCTGTTGGTGCATTAGCAATAACTGGTGCAATCGTGCTATCTACCGAGGCCATGATTGTATTCCGGATAAAGCCTATCCTGTCTTGTCTAGATTTTGTAAGCAAGGTTGAGTGTTTGTTGAGTATTTGAGCCATTTGTTGAGTTGAGAAACTGTGGAGGACAGGGTTCAGTGCCGTCGAGATAGCCCATAAGATCATACCCAAAGAGAAGGGTAGATATTTGTGATTTCCAAGTATAACAATTATGGCTCCCAGTGAGTTTCAAGGGTAGTTGCGAAGCTGCATTGACTGAGATCAGTTGGGGATGTTGTGGGGTACCAGATGAAGCAGTAACAATTGCTGTTGTGTTGGCTGTGGAACCCATGGTTTGTGTGGTAAATATTGGTAATTGGTTTTGAAAGTACAAGTGGGGGTGAATTGTAACCTGTTAAAAATTTCTAGTCGACTATGTATGTTCTTAGTCGGCTGATACGGAGACAGACTGCCCAATACTGTTAGTACTTTGATTCAATCAAATACTAATCTCAACAAACAGTATTTGCTTATAATAACATATGAAAGCGGTAAGGTAAATGATACCAAGAATTTTATACTGGTTCGGAACCAATGTGGTATCCTACTCCAGTCTCCTTGAGTTGCAAGGATGTTATCTCTTAATCTCTTTGTAATATGAGTTGTGTATAACTTGTGTGATTTTCGACGTTCACCACCAAAGTTTACAAGGTTAGTTTTCACTCGCTCACCAACAACGAACAAAGGTTGGTTTTAACACGCTCACCAACAACGAACAAGGGTTATTTTAACACGCTCACCAACAACGACTCTTTGGTTTTCACTCGCTCACCAAAGTAACGAATAATGACACAACCTCTAAGGACACACTGTCTCTCCAATATTTTTCAGTCTCTCTTCACTCTTTTGTGTACACAGTAAATCTACTAAAAGTAAATCTTAATGCTTGTTAAGAGTAGAACAAAGAACTTGTAGTTGGATGGAGAATTGTATAAAAGGTTGCGTGTCTAATCTTTGAGTTTGCCAGTCTTCTTATAGACCAGATTTGAGAGTTGTTGTTGATTTGTTTTTGATAGGTGCACATAATATTTTATTGATATTTGATTTATGACCCGTGCCTTTAATTTCTTCAAGAAGGATGGGCTGGATTTAATAATCCAGGGAGTACTTTCCATGCTCCATGCTTTATTGGGTAGAGGAATAACACTTCAAGTTGTATCCCATTATATTTTGTTTCCCTTCCACTTTGGATCTTCCCTCATAGAGATTCTGAATACTCCATGTCGAGATGCTTTGAAGAAAAGAGTAGCACTTCAAATTGTCTCCATTTGATGTTGTGTTTCCCACTCAAATTGTCTCCCATTATGTTGTGTTTCCTTTTCACTTTGAATCCTCCATTTTACAGAATCTGCATACACTTGTATAACATTAGTTAAAACGTTTTTATGGATATTGATCATTATTAAAATTCTAAACTTAACAATCTCCCCTTTTTTGATGATGATAATAAGCTAAAAAGAGTTTGACTAATTTATGGATACTTCCTTTTTCTTTTCAAGTGTGCTCCCCCTATCTTTAAGCTGGTGGTTGAGTTGAATCTGCACTTTTGAACCTGTAATATACCTGCAACTCTTTTTCTTTCTTCTCCCCCTTTGACATCAATAAAAAAAAGCAAGAGAAACTACTTACAGTAATAGTACTAACTAAGCATGCATAAAGTTAGTATAAATAAGTAGTTATAGTGAGCATAGTCGGCTGATGCTTACCCTAGACACAACCAAAAGAAATAGTCTTAAACTATCACACAAAACAAAAAGGGATTGTCTTAAGCATCCTAAACATTCAATGTCTTCCAAGGAAATATTTAATGGTGTTAATCACTTTAGTGTAGAAGTTTTCATAAGAGGCATCAATGACCTTGGTGAGGTTAGTAATTCCTTGATACCTGCAATGTTGTGCTGCATCAGTATCAGCTGGTCTGAAGAAGATGATTTGTTGGCCTCAAATTTTAGTCCCACACTGCTCTGAGTAGGGATGACCTCTGATGCTTTGTTCTTTTTAAGCCAAGTTCCCTCAATTAAGGTATACCCTATCATGGAGAGGACAGTCTTGTCATAAGTGCTGGAGATAATCTTTGGAGCATAGAGAGATAGGTCCACTTTCATGACTTTCAGGATTTGAGAAACTTAGTAAACCATAAGGCAGTCTGCTCGCAGAAGAGGAAATGTCCCTGATACTTTCAAGCATTTATTGACGTACCCAGGCAAACCGGTTTATAGTTTTACCGTTTACCAAATAGTACATTATATCTTTGAGAGATAGAGTACTCAGAAAACCAGTACGGGGTAGCAAAGTAGTTGCAATAATATGGGCTAGAACACGATGTTCAAACTTCAAGTTCTTAGGACCTATATCAAGGGGGTTTTCAGACAGAACACTTTTGTTCTCATCAAAAGATACTTCAAAATTATCTGGTCAGGAATATCGCACAAAGAAATTGTATCCAACAAACTTTGTAGCAAAGATTTTTTTCAAACTGATAAGAATCAAGGATGATGTGAGTTCCTAAGACCATGGTTTCTAGATAGTCTTTATCATTCACAAAAAAAATATTTGCATAAAACATGCGCACAAGCTCTTCATAGACAGTATCACCAATAGTAGCAAATAGGGATACAAGTTGGCTATCCATTGAGTACAAAACATAAAAGATTGCAGCAAAGACTTAATTAAAGTGCATCTAAAGTAATAAGCTAGATAGACTAGTTACTTCCCTGAAATATTCCGCTTATATCGAGCTTATTCTTCCATGGCAGGTAAAGGCTCCCCCTTATTTTAAGGGTTCCACAGTCATGCTCCCTCTGCATTCATGCATATTGTCTATAGACTTTACAAGTAAAGTTTTGTACCAATGTATCTTTCTCCCCCTTTTTTCATCATCAAAAGGGTGGAAACATCTTGCAGAAATTATGTAAGCAGGTATTCACAATTACATAATTTAGTCGAAAGCTTAGTATAATCATTTGAATGAAGCGTAAAAAAAAATTAAAAGGAACTCAAGGGACACTTGGTTTTTCCAAAACATCATTTAGCATATAAGAAGGTGTAATCGCACATAGTCACTTAAAAATCACTATATGATTAAAAAGATTAAGAACCTTTTGATAACCTCAAATGTTAAACTTTCAAAATTTTGAACAAAAGCTTAATACCCTTAGAAAGACTACAACGTATTAATGCATATAGGAGTCAAGAAATGGTTATGTGTTCATACTACATGACAGTCAATTTCTTTTTACTAGTGTAGAATAGATCTTCATGAAACGACTATTTGACTATTTCCTTTAATCAACTACCCTTCACACATGAATAAGGGAACCATATTCTAAAAGATTCATCACTCAACAAGAAGTCATATAATCTTGCTTATCTAGTCTTAGAATCATTTTAAGCACAAAATAAGTCATTAGTAACGAGTGATTCATCTCTGACTTTAAGGTCAACTTATCTTTTCTCAATGTGAGAAAATATCTACACGCTGCAATAGCTTCACATGGAGAAATATTCACTCTTGGCTAGATGAGCCAGTTGAACTTTACACTTATCTTTTTCATGACATGAGAATATTAAAAATCTCCAATCCAATATTTATATTTCAGTCCACTTTGTTGCATGCAAGGTTTACATCTGAGAATATTCTACTAGATTAACTCAATTAGTTCTTGCATACAACAAGTCATAATTTAGAAGTCAACCAAAAATCTTTTGTGGCACTATATCGATATTCTATAGGATCAGGTATACCAAAATATCTGTTATAAAAATGCAATAAAGAGCCGGTCATAACTTGATACTATATTCGATCGATGGACTTACTAATTTTCTCTCTGCTTCACATTATTTGGAATGTGAGGATAAAGATTAATTCTCCATCATGCTCATTTCCAAACCGATCATCTTCCAGAGGCTTAAAGCTTGCCATGCTTTTAGTTAATATTAGATAAATATGCTCTTAAATGCATAATTGGAGAGAAAAATAATTGTCAAATGATAATCATGAAATTCTTTTAAATGACAATGAGTCTCGGTCACAAAAATGTAATCCAAAAACTTTTAACTCCAGAGAAAGACGAGAGAGTAAGGTTATGCTATTTTCAAACCATTTAAAAAATATTTCAACATCCATACAGAGATAATTTAAAAACTTGTAATGTGAACATGAAAAACAACATTCTAACAAAACTCTCCATGAAGAAACAAACCTTCTTGTTGTGAAACCTTTTGCTATAATGTATATGGAAATAAATAAAAGTAATTATAGGCAACATTAAACATTGTTATGGGGGATTTGTACAAATGCCAATCTTGTTCTGAAGGAATAAAAATCTTTCTTCAAGCAAAAGTTTTGTAAAAATATCCACTAACTGATTTTCAGTATTCACAAGTTCTAGCACAATATATTCTTTAGCAACATGATCATGTATAAAATGATGCTTGATCTCAATATGCTTAGCCCTAGAATAATGCACAGAGTTTTTGATGAACAAATTGCACTAGTATTGTCATACATAATAAGAACAGAATTAAGATATCAATCATAATCTAACAGTTAATGCATGATCCAAGGTACTTGTGTACAGCAGTTGCCTACTGCCAAATATTCAGCCTCTGCGGTGGATAAGGCCACACAACTTTGTTTCTTGTTGTGCTAGGATATAAGGGATTTCCCAAGTAATTGGCACGTTCCACTTGTGCTTTTTCTATCAAGTTTATATCCTGCAACATTTGCATCTGAAAAGCCTTTGAGATTGAAAATTTTCAAACTTTCATACCATAAGCCATAGTCTCCGTCTCTATTAAATATCTGATAATACGTTTAATAACAGTCAACTGAGACGCTTTAGGAGATGAATAATATCTAGCACATTTGTAAATACTAAACATAATATCTGGTCGACTAGCTATAAGATAGAGTAGTGAGCAAATCATACCTCGATACATTATTTTATCAACATTCTTACCATTTTTGTCTTCATCCAAAGAAGTCGATGGATTCATAGATGTTCCTATGACCAATCTAATCAAGCTTCTTGTTAGATATCCATGATTGCAATTCCTTTGCTTGATAATAGATTTTTACATTTATTCTTTCAGCTTTGTTCAGTAGATCTTGCATAGTTAGAATCCATCATTCATCGCTTAATGCTTCTTCATGTTTATCTAATTCGACTAGCATGGATGTGTCGTTATCCTGTTTATTGCAAGCCATCCACTGAAAGTTTTCCATCCTTATTCATAAATTTCTTAGAAAAGTATTAGTGTAAAGAAATCACGCATGTTGAGATTTCTCTACAATTAATATTCTGAATTTCATAAAATCGAAAGTAGTAATGAATAAGGAATATACCAAGAGTCTTACCAAGACAGTTACAACCAAAGGGAACAAGATAACTAAATATCTCCCATAGCTTAGATAGAATTTCATTCAAGATAAGATCCAAAAAATATTAAGGTATATATAAGCCAGTGATAGCAATTTATACAAAAATGATACTTTCTTTTCAATTCTGCATTCCATTTAGGCGCCAAAATAAATGTGTGAGAAATTATGTATGCCGCAAAAAAATGTCGAACAAATACTATAACTCACATCTATGATCAAATGCATCATTTTCTTATTAAGGAATATAGCCTAGGCAAAAATATCAATAGAAACATACACATGTATCTTTTAAACTGTTGAGTCATAGGAATGGTCAAGTATCTCCACATGTGCATAAGTTATTTGCCTTAAGGTTAAACATCCTCCTTGAATTTGAAAGAAGTATTGATACTCTTATCAAGAGAATGAATATCAAAAGCAAATCTCCTTTTAAAACAAATTTGAGCACATGACGACATAAAAAATGTATGTATGCTTGTTTATCCTAATGTTAATACAAATGGCATGGTTCATGCAAGACATACATTCGTGGTATTTAACATCTCTAAGTCAAGGATAAAAATAACACCAAATGGAATTATAGAATAATGCGATAGTTGACTCAAGCAATATATACTTATCATATTATATTTTTTTTAAAAATAACTAGATACACATCACTTTATAATTCATTAAAAGAAACTTGGATAAATTTTAATGATACTAGTCACTCAAGTTTTACCAGGACGTGTAATGGTTTATTCATCCTTTATAGAGTATGTGTAAACTTTGAAGCACCTTTAAGCATGTTCCTGGACCAGCCGTTATGCAAATATCATTTATTCCTTTTTATGGCTGGACTCAGAATTTCTGCAAAATAAATTAATTTATTTTTGGTACCCAAATCTTTTGGGTCCTTGAGGGTTAGTAGCTGGTATAATTGGAGATGCATATACCTGTTTAAATCTCCAAATATATTTTGATCTACCATAATTTGTTTGCATAATTGCATGCAAATACTTTATGTTCAAAATTACCACAGTAATGGCATGTAGTATGAGAAGAGAAATGTTTACCTCCAGATGCCTTATTAGTTGACTTGAAACTTCCCTCAGTCAACTTGTTTAAGGTAGGACATTTACTAGTAGACCCATTTTTAGTCGATTGATAGTTGTTAAGCCAAGGAGACGACTTTGATCTAACAAGGTAGTGGCTGGGGGATTTGTGCAAGCTGCTTATTTGTTTGCGAAGCTCAAAATTTTCTTCTTGAAGTAAGTTATTCTCCAACTGATATTCTTTAAGCTGAATATCCCAGTTTTTTTTTTATTTCTCAACTTGTTATATTCTTTAAGCTGAATATCCCAATTTTTTTTTTCATTTCTCAACTTGTTATATTCTTCAAGTTGGATCTCCCAACATTTCTTCTCATGTATCACCTTGTTATATTCTTCAAGTTGGATCTCCCAACATTTCTTCTCATGTATCACCTTGTTATATTCTTCAAGTTGGATCTCCCAACCTTTCTTCTCATGTATCACCTTGTTATATTCTTCAAGTTGAATATCCCAATTCTTTTTCTCTTTCCTCAACTTATTATATTCCTTAAGCACTTTCTCAAGGTCGTTGAGAACCGATTCAATATTTCCCTGCAATTCGTCACATTTATCGCAATATGTAATATGAGTAGGACATACCTTGTCAATTTCTCCTATTGCCATGAAACATAGGTTCTCTATTCTTTCATGGTCGTCTTCTTCTTCAGATTTATTCTCGTCGTTCCAAGTTGATATTCTATGATTCTTCTTCTTGAATTTAGGACACTTTAATTTCATATGTCCAGATTTACCATATTCATTGCAGCATACATTCTCTTTTTGTTGTACCTCATTCTTGTGATGATTCTTGATGGATTGAGATTTTTTATTCTGCTTCTTTCTCCTCTTCTTTTTTCTTGTCCTGGGTATCACTGCCAAGTCTTCTCGATCTTCACCATTTTCAGAGTCTTCAAGAACTAACTTGGATTCAATTTCTTTAACTTTGTTAGTGTCTCCATGGATATTTTTCAATATGTCCCATATATCTTTAGCAGTCTCACAAGTGTATATATTCTTATATTCTTCTTCACTAATCGCACAATAGAGCATGTTGATTGCTCTAGCATTTGTTTGCATAATATCCAGCTGCTCTCTTGTGTAGTCAAATATGGATGCCCCTTTTTCAAGCTTCCTTCCATCACTGTTGTTCGGAATAAGTCTAGGTCTATTCTGAATAACTAGCCAGGCTAGATAATCTATTGATTGAACATAAACCTTCATTCTTTCTTTCCAATGGTTATAGTATTGACTATTGAAGTACGACGGCCTTCTTGTTGAGTATCCCTCTTGAAATATGGTTCCAGTAATTTGATGACATGCCATATATCTTTTCTCACTTGCTGTTAAGCAAAAGAAAAAGATGTGAGACCAGGTCTGATACCAATTGAAAGTACAATAGGNGGGGGGGGGGGGGAGCGAGTGAATTGTAGCCTGTTAAAAATTTCTAGTCAACTATGTATCCTCTTAGTCGACTGATGCGGAGACAGACTGCCCAATACTGTTAGTACTTTGATTCAATTAAATACTAATCTCAACAAATATTAATTGCTTATAATAACATATTAAAGCAGTAAGGTAAATGACACCAGGAATTTTATACTGGTTCGAAACCAATGTGGTATCCTACTCCAGTCTCCTTGGGTTGCAAGGATGTTATCTCTTGATCTCTTTGTAATATGAGTTATGTACAGCTTGTGTGATTTTTGACGTTCACCACCAACGTTTATAAGGCTGATTTTCACTCGCTCACCAATAACGAATAAGGGTTGGTTTTAACACGCTCACCAACAACGACTCTTTGATTTTTACTCGCTCACCAAAGTAACGAATAATGACACAACCTCTAAGGACACGCTGCCTCTCCAATATTTTTCAGTCTCTCTTCACTCTTTTGTGTACAAAGTAAATCTTAATGCTTGTTAAGAGTAGAACAAAAAACTTGTAGTTGGATGGACGTATAGAAGACTGTGTGTCTAATCTTTGAGTTTGCCAGTCTTCTTATAGACCAGATTTGAGAGTTGTTGTTGATTTGTTTTTGATAGGTGCACGCAATGTTTTATTGATATTTGATTTATGACCCGTGCCTTTAATTTCTTCAAGAAGGATGGGCTGGATTTAATAATCCACGGAGTGCTTTTCATGCTCCATGCTTTATTGGGTAGAGGAACAATACTTCAAGTTGTCTCCCATTACATTTTATTTCTCTTCCACTTTGGATCTTCCCTCATAAAGAATCTGAATACTCTATGTCGAGATGCTTTGAAGAAAGAAGCAGCACTTCAAATTGTCTCCATTTGATATTGTGTTTCCCACTCAACTTGTCTCCCATTATGTTGTGTTTTCTTTCCACTTTGAATCTCCCGTTTTGCAGAATCTGCATATACTTGTATAACATTAGTTAAAACTTCTTTATGGATATTGATCATTATTAAAATTCTAAACTTAACAGGTTTGAGGAGAAAGTGAAGTTGCAATGTTGGTTAACTCTTTTACCAGAATCGAGAGGCTCTTTAGAGCATTTGCTGGCCTGATACCATATAAATGAACGGAGACTATATGATGAAGTTGTTATCTTTCATTGATAGGAGCTGTAAATATATAGAGTTTACAAGAGATTAAACTTGAAAAGATAAGTACAAGAAATATACGGATATACATGGATACATATCATGATCAATTTGAATGTAACTAAAATCTAGAAAATTGTTGGATCATGTTAATTTGTAATCCTTTATCATTATCCTTTATCACCCTCCACATACCCCATTTATGAGAATACTCTGAATTTGTTTGTTGAATGCAACTAGATGTTATTTAAACCCGATTGGTTGGATGAAAGATAAATCCAACTACTAAATTAAAGACAACTTGCTCTAAGACATTCCAAAGATGAAAATAATAGTTCATATATTATCGATCGCAAATAAATAGGACTTCAATTCATACATATGCCTCATTTGGCCCAAATACTTGACTAAATGCTCACCTGCATCACTATATATCCTCATATTTTGATAGGTTCAACCAGTAACAAGTTAATCATGTTTTTAACATTGCCTTTGGAGTTTGTGTATCCATCTCCCTCTTTATACAGAGTGTCCATCACACGTGCACAATTTATAACTCGTTCAAGGACAAACATTGGTACTTCAGTAGGAAGGAATAATTCCTTGTTTATAACTTTCCATGCATTCTTGATTTCCTTCTGTAGCTTAACGTATGCCTCTTCCTTTGATGCTCCATATTCTTTCATGTAGCATTCAATAATTGAAGCTACATGTCCTCTTTGTTGTTCAACCTACATGAAATAGATTTCAATCTCTTCAGTATAATTATACATTTTAAGCATTTTCTTGTTTTATCATATTTTAAGCTTCATGGCTAAACTTTAATCCCATTTGAATCAAATTTAATACATATAATCTGTTCCTTTTGTACACATGCAGATAAACAATCATTGGCAAGTTGTTTTGTGTGCATTATTTTCATGTAGATAGTTTCTTTTCTTCTTTTTTCTCGTGAGTGACGATCTTGTTCTTATTTTCATGTAGATAGTTTCTTTTCTTCTTTTTTCTAGTGAGTGATCTTGTTCTTATTTTCATGTAGATAGTTTCTTTTCTTCTTTTTTCTAGTGAGTGATCTTGTTCTTATTTTCAAACTCTCTACTGTATTACATATCATTGTATTTACTAACTTTTCATTGCTGATGTTAAATTATTCGATATCGCAGACACCAAACTATCATATATCCTTCTTTTATTTTTTGCATAGTTATACAATAAAGCGAATACAAATTACTTAGTAACTTTTTCCTGGAAGAGATTGCTACATGGATAACAGAATACTAGCGATTTAATGTTTAATGAATTTAGAAGGTCTATTTTATTATTTTATGCCAATGAACCTTCAAAATTGGAAGTGACACTTTGGGCCGGTTTGGCCATAAAATAAATTCATTTTTAATCGATTTTGTTTTAGTTTTTTTCGGAATCAATGTTTGGCCATGAAAATTTTAAATTTCACTTGAAGTTGAATGTCGGAATTTTCCGAAAATTTGAAAAACTCAAAAAAGTTATTTTTCAAAATTTACAAAAATTCAAGAACAGCTCCAAATTATATTCATGTCCAAACACAACTCTAATTTTCAAATACTATTTTCACAATTTACTTTTTTTCGAAGTTTCACAATTCTTACGTGCAAACGCCCACTTACTCTATCTTTTGAGAAAAAAAAAGAAAGTGAGAAGTGTTATTGTTGTACTTACGTCATGGCCAACAATATCGTCCATTGCTCTGCTAATTGTTGACGCAGCCAGAACTATCGAAGGCTTATTTATTATCCATTCAAAAGTCTCTCTGGATATAAACTCCTCCATTCCGACCAAGGAAGTTGTTGCTAACATCATATAGCCACAGCTTACAAGTGCATTCTTAGTATACTCCTCACAAGTTGGAGTATAGCCAGCATCCAACCATTGGGCTTCCTTAAGAAAGGCTCTCACCAACTTTTTCATCTGAAAAATAAATAGAAGTAATTTAAGCTAGATAATAAGTGTCGTCTTCTTTTGGAATGAGATCACCGTTTCCTTTGTTTTCTTCCATTTAACTTAATCTAACTGATTTATGTGCATGGGTTAGTTAAGCAATATTACCTCATATTTTGCATAGTATACGCGGTCGGATTTACATTCTTTGGCCAGTACTTCTTCCATTTCACTGTAAACGTCTAGAAGGGCTTGATAAGCAGGTCTCAAATATGGCTGTAGGGAATCTATCGCACTAATGTCCCATCTAAAAATCAAGATTGTATCAGAATCACAAGCTAATTTTTACATTATGAACATGTCGTTTCACACGATAACAACATAAAGAAATGTTTTTTAATATTCATCAACGAGGAATTGTAAAAAGATTTACCTCTGTATCGCATCAGTGAACGGCACGAGTTCATCAAGGGTTGCATAAGCATCAAAAGTGTCATCAAGGATGCTGTCGATCTTGATTATTTTTGTTATCATTTTTCTCGCACGACTATACTGAGGCTCATAATACAATCCTAATATCCAAAATAACACTCAACCAATCTGTCTCTTGCATATGGATATTTGTTCACAAAATCCAAATCTTTCCACCATCTGCATCACATCACAAGAGCAACACGTTATTATATTTCAGTTTTACTAAGCCCAAGGTATCATTATTCATTAATTAAATTAAAGAAGATAGATCAAATAATGTACCTCGTAAGCTCGTTAAGCTCTCTTTGATGCAGCTTTTGCAACACGTTAAAATCCAATTTTGCGAATTTCAAAAGCAATTTGTTGTGTGCATCAATGTCTTCATAAATGGATATGTATTTCCTTGCCCCCAACCTTGGTACGGTTTTACGAATAGGCTGGCTTAAGGCTTCAGAAACTTGAGCCTTAAGCGAGTTAAAATTGTTCAAGTTTGTGACCATGGACTCGAGATGAATAGTGGTAAAGGTAAGAGCTTCTTCTAGAATCTCCTCCGCGTGCACTCTCATATGTGATGCTTCATACAAACTTAGTAATCCTTGGACATCATTACTAAGGGCTTCCTTGAATCCTCCATCATGATTAGTGAATTGCTTGAACACATCTGGTTAAACATCATGTTCATATTTTGATAGAAATTAATTTAGTTTAAACTCCAAATTACATGTTATTATTAAAAATATTACTCCCTATATATCAGCCAAAAGAACTTAAGCATTCTTACATAACTGGTGGGTTTGAAAGCTAAGAAACCTAAAGTTTCCATATTAAAATTGGTGATAATTTTTCAGTACAAGGACATAATTACAATTTCCATGATGCTACGTTGCAAGTGTTATAAGCGTAAATGAAGATAAAGCCATATTGGATCAAGTTTTCAGCCATAATGCTGAAAAATAAACCTAAAGTTGCCACATTAAAATTGGTGATAATTTTTCAGTACAAGGACAAAATTACAAGTTCCATGATGCTATGTTGTAAGTGTTATAAGCGTAAATGAAGATAAAGCCATATTGGATCAAGTTTTCAGCGATAATGCTGAAAAATTCTGGTGATCCTCGAAATTTTGCCACAAATCCTGACGGATCCTGCTGTGGCGATTTCTAAAATTGTTTTCCAAAAATATTATGATCAGTGTTCCAAAATTCTTATCAGAGACTATTTTTTCAAGACTTTTTTACCAAGATCAAAATGTTCCATCCAGCGTAATTAATAGGTTCCAAGCGTGCGAATATTTAAAATAATTTTTTTTTTCTTTTTCTTAACCTCGAAACGAAGCGAATGATAAAGAAAGCTATGGGTGGAAGTTTTGAATATACTATTGAAATAACCACGAAAACAGCAATGAAGCTTTGCAGGATAGAGCAGAAAGAAGTTAAGTTACCTGAAGACATGTAATGGCCTTGTTGTCTTACAAGCCGGAAACGAAGAGCGACAACGTAAAGGTTATCATCAATATTATTCTCAGTCTGCAGTTGGGACGCATCAAAGATGTTTTGAATAGATGTTTCGATCTCATTATGAAAATGATATGCTACTCCCAATCGTTGGATTGTGTCAATCAGGACAAGTTTTTGTGTACTATTGTCACGAGTTTCTACTAACATCTTCCTGACTTTTTCTTTTAACTCATCAAGTTCAAGTTTTTCTTGGGTTCTAATTTCCTGCATTTGAAAATTCAACATATTAGTTTTGACTATCTTTAAATGAAATACCAGTATAATATGTACAAACTTACTGTTGTTTTTGTTTGAAAAATAGGAATTAAAACGGAATTCAAAAAGAAATAAAGCATATACATGAGTGGAGATGGCGTACTGTAAGTTGATAAGTATAGGAGAGGAAATGATATCCCCAAACGGTTGATTCAAAATTTGCCACGTGACGATGATCAGAGAAAGAAGCATCCATTGCTAATATTTTATGAGTCATCCTTTTCTCCTTATAATCTCTGATTCTATGTCTCTCTCTTCCCCTCCACATGACTAAAGGTGAAAATGAGTATGTATTTTTAACTGAACAGAAACTGTATCCCCCAATGGCCGATTGAGAATTTGCTAAGTGATGCCAGCCGGTGGGATAAGCAATCATTGCTTGACTCATCCTTCTTTCTGTTTTCTCTCCCCACAAAGGTTTTACATCTAAATTTTTGTACATATTTATAGTGCAGTTTCATTTTTGTTTTCCTCATTGATACAGTTGACATCATCCGAGTGCGCACTATGCATGTCCTCTAAGAAGACGCTGGCTTCGTGGCAGTCTAGGAGCCAAGTGTGTTCAGAGGGGTCAATTGAATTTTCTTTGTTGTAATATTTGGACAAGAGTGGGTTGCTCTAGCGGTGAGCACCCTCCATTTCCAACAAAGAGGTTGTGAGTTCAAGTCACCCAAGAGCAAGGTGGGAGTTCTTGGAGGGAGAGAGACGGGGGTCTATCGGAAACAGTCTCTCTACCTCAGGGTAGAGGTAAAGTCTGCGTACACACTACTCTCTCCAGACCCACTAATAAAATTTTGGAATGTATAGCATAAAGTAAACTTTTTTATATATATCTGAAATGTTATATCCCTTTACAGTTAAGTGTATTCACTCACTGCGCAAGTTTACAATTTTTGGAATTCCATTGTTATTTTTTCTCGCTCCCCCACTACTTTGTGGTAGTGCCGTCAAAATGTGCTAGTCCAGCCAAGTCGAGACCTCACGGGCCATGGAATTTGATGGGCTTGAATGGATCGGCCTCATTTTCGAAAGAGCCTTAAAATAAGTGAAAATAGTACGGACTAATCAGTTTTCAGATTGGTAATTGAAAAATAGTCAGTATTTGTAAAGTCATTGAAAAATAGTCACTATTTTACTGCAACACGTAAAGTTCCAGCATAATATATTGGAGATTGATGCACATGTATATGCACTTCCAACATATTATGCTGGAACTCCAGCACACGGAAAGTTCCAGCGTAATATACTGGAACATCATTATATTATGCTAGAAGTTCACATGTGAAAAATTTATACTCCAGTATATTATGCTGGAATATTTTTCGAATTTTGAACAGTGTTTTCGTTCAGATTTGTCTTTACATGAAAAGTGATTAAATTTCGATTACTTTTGAAACTTTGGTTTTTTTTTTTCAATTATCACTTGTAAATCTAACTATTTTTGAATTTCACCCTTAAAATAACTAGCCCAACTCATCCCTAAGTGGACCACGGGCTAGGGCAGGCTAACCCTTAATATTTTTCAATCTTCTTCTTATTTTTAAATCTAAAATTCGAACCTAAAATTCTGCAAATTTGTTTTTGTTTCTAACATTTGATGATGTATAAGGAAGTAAAAATTACAAAAGTATAAATTTTTGTAAGACAATAATTTAATATTACATAAAACTTTATGGTATTCAGGAAAGTCGACTTTATTCGCAAACATGAAGGTTTATAGTTATTACTAAAATTTTTAAGTTGTTAGCTAAATTTTAAGAAATTACCAATAACAAAATAAGAAAAAAACACTCCAAGAAAAGAAACCTTTTAACCAAACCATGGATAGATGCAAATCAAAATATACCTACCTAACAGTCACATACATATAGAATATGGTTAACAGAAAAAAAATTGTTGGATTCCCAACAAACCGACAAAAACTGAATTCTTCTATTTTGTGAATATATCTTGTTGCGTCAACAAAGTGCTTAGATTGTACTAAAACGCGATAACCAATTAAGAGAAAAAAAAAATAAAAATCAAGCAGATTCATTTCAAGAAATTATATTCCAGCAACTCAACTCAAAAGACCTATTTGATAAGTGTTATTTTGAGTAGTATTTGTCTCTTTGACTCTTTAATTTTTTTTATTTTTTATTTTAAATTCAAATTAAAATCTTTTTGGCCCATAGGCCGGCCCTAGCCCAGCCTCGGTCGAGCCTCAAGGGCCCACAGACTAACTCAGGTTGGGCCGATAAGCCTCACTTTTAAATGGGCTAGAAAAATCTTAGCCCAATCCTATCCAAGTAACGAGTTCGATTGGACTGGCCTCGTGGGCCAAGCCCATTTTGGTTGCTCTATTTTGTTGGGTGAGTTTGTTTTTTTCTTTTTTTGTTAGTTAGTTAAATATGACCAATTCATCATTTTTATTATATTTATTAAATTATATTATAAGTAATTTTCTTAAGAAAAAGTTAAACTCATTTATAGCCTGTTTGACCAAACTGGAAAAAAATGAGCTTATTTTGAGAACTGCTTTTCGAAAAAGTACTTTTGGAGAAAATTAGTTTGTGTTTGGCTAATTAATTTGAAAAATATTTTTGAGCAATAATTTGTGCTTGGCTAAGTTTTTCAAAAAGTGCTTTTAAGTATCAAATTACGAATAAGGATATGAAGATATTTACCTAATTAGTTAATATTATATAAATAAATAATTACAAATATTTACCATTAATGATAATAATTTTTTTTATTTAAGTAAAATATAAAAGTAAAATTAAAAATAATTTATTCTTTTAAGATGATTGAAATATATAAAAAATTATTTAACAAATATGAAAGTTCATCACAACAACAACAACAACAACAACAAACCCAGTATGTTCCCAACAGGTGGGGTCTGGGGAGGGTAGTTTGTACGCACACTTTATCTCTACCTAATACAGGTAGAGAGGAAGTTCATCACAAAAGTCATTATATATTATTTAATAATTTAAACTAAGTAATGTTATTTTGCTACATACAATATTTTGCTAAGGGTATTTTTGGTAGGAAAAAAATTCAAAACTGCTTCTGCTTCTGCTTCTACTTCTGGGGAGAAGTTACTTTTTTCTACTTCTCAAAAACTATTTGTGCTTCTACCCAAAAACACTCTCTCTCCCCCTCCCCCAAAGAAAAGTTTGGCCAAATACCTCAAGTTAAAGAAAAGAATACCTTTTTAAAGAAAAAAACACTTCTACCCTTGGGAGAAGCTTGGCTAAGAGCTCGTTTGGTTTAGCTGATTATAAATAACTGATAAGCTTGAAGTGCTGAAAAATATTTTTTAATTGCTGAAACTGATTTTTTAAGTTTGGATAGATGTGTTGAAACTAATAATAAGCAGTTGATATGTTTGGTAGAAAAGTATTGATAAGCTGTTATTTTGTGAAAGTGATTAAATATCCTTAAAACTTTACAAAATATTGTAACTAGAAAATTTCTTTGTATAGAAAAGGATGAATAACGAATATGGAATGAAGAGAAAGTTAGGAAATTTGTTTCGTAAAAATATTTTGTGAAATAAAAAATATTATTAAGGATAAACTCGTAAAAGCCTTGGTCAAACTAAAAGTGCTTATAAGCTGAAAAGCCATAAGTTGGGGGTGACCAACTGTCACGACCCAAAATTTCACCATAGGCGTCGTGATGTCACTTCGTCTCTAAGACTAGGCAAGCCGATTACAATTACAATTCAAGCCATTTTTTTTATAATCGAAACCAACAACGGAAATAATTATATCACCTTCCCAAGACTGGTAATACTGAGTCACGAATTCTAACTGAATACATGCAATGATCTCAAGGATCGAATATATAATACTGTTCGAATAAGAGTTGATAGTACAATAAATGGAAAGACTCCAAGTGACTGCGACGACCAAGCAGCTCAACTTTTAGTCCTTCCGATCACACTCTAACTATGTCGGAGTCCGATATCTCCAATACCCGGCTCTGCACAAAAATATGCAGAAGTATAGTATGAGTACATCACAGTCGGTACCCAGTAATTATCAAGACTAACCTCGGTGGAGTAGTGATGAGGTACAATCAAGACACTCACTAATCAATTAACCCGTGGAGTATAGTAGTATATAATAATAATAGAAACAAATAGCAATGATGGCAACACGAATCAATCAATGATATAAACAACAAGGCAATAAGAACACCATAAATATTGCTCAAACGAATAAGGATCACAAATACAACCAATCATTCAAGTCCCTCAAATTTACATCTTTCAAATGTAAGTACTTCAAGTATAAATCTTCCAAATATAAGTTTTTCAATAAAAGTTCTTAGAATATAATCCCTTCAAATAAATATATATTTCGAATATACGCCCTTCAAAAAAGAGTCTTTCGAATATAAATCTTTCAAATAAAAGTCACCTTGTGACACCTCATTTCAAAATTATAAAAATACGGGTCTCAATCCACTTTCATATTTTCACGGCACCTTGTGCCCATATTTCTATCACAACTGCACGGACAACTCACGTGCCAAAAATATAAATATATAAAAATATGCACTATCAATTTACTTTAGAAATAGTTTGAGTGAAGAAAATGACATTGCACTTAAATTAAAGCATCAGATAAACTAATAATTTGGATGTAAAATTTATTAATTTAAAACATAATAGTAATTTCTTTTATTTAAAATAACTCAATCATCGAAAATCAGTAATGACCAGAAATATAAATCATTAGAGTCTCGTACTAAAAAGTCAAAGCCAACACAATACAACAAGGAACACAAAACACATAATAATAAAGTCAACTAGTAAATCACGGAAGAAGACAAGAATTTACATATCACAGAAAAATAAAATAACCAAGGCAAGTGCAACCATAAATAACTTTCAATAAAGGGCACTCCCGAGGTACCGCCTCGTAGTCCCAAAAATAAATTCATAATCTTTCCTTATATCACCGCGGTAGCCTTCACATTTAGTTTTAAAAATCATTTTTTCCGAAATAGCATCCCGCATTTTAGCCCACTTTCTCACACCGCATGCGTTTCAACACCCTGACCTTATACCACCGCATGCATATCAATATCACAATTTTTTACAGTGGGCACTCTCGAGGTACCACCTCGTAGTCCCAAAAGTAAATATGCATCAACAAACTGCACTACAAGTACTCAAATATCACAACATATCATAAATTGCACATCAAGTGCTCAAATATCACAACATCTCATAAATTGCATATCAAGTGTTCCAATATCGCAACATATCACAAATTGCACATCAAATTTTTAAATATCGCAACATATCACAAATTGCACATCAATTGCTCAAATATCACAACATCTCATAAACTGCACATCAAGTGTTCAAATATTATAACTTGTCACAGAAATCGATAATAATATTATTTTTCACAATAAGGAGCCAACGACTCGATCATAATGTGTACAAGATCTTAACAAAATTGTCGGGAGTGAACAACTCAACCGAATAATATTTCACAATTTAGCACTTGCCTCAATATGATTCACGGCCTTTATAATTTAATACCAAATTTCAACAACATGAATTGAAAAGTAATTCATCAAGGAACAACACCTCTTTTAAATCGCAACTTCAGGAAATAAATAGATTTATTTATCTTATTAACTAAATTTTTCATTTAAATTATCTGTAAATAAAATCAATAATGAGTATTTTTCATAAAAATGACAACTCAAACAAACACAGAGTTCACATAAAAGTCAAGTAGCAATCACACCAAATTATCATATAAAAATAATCTCGGCAAAATAAGGAATAAGGCATGACAAATAAGAGATTTAATGTCATGACCCAATTTTAGGATCATGACCGACGCTTAGGAGCAAGTGTTCCCAAGTAAGCCCCATCGGT